GGAGTCACTGCTAGCTCTGGCAGGGGGTGAGTGCAGTTGGGCGGATGAGATCAGCTGTCCCTGGGGGCTATATGGGGAATCCAGGGCAGCTCATTCATCAGGTGTTGTCACCGGACTAGAGGGCTCTGGCTATTGCTAAGGGAGAGGAGGAGGTGGGTATGTCTCTCTCTGTCTGCTCCTGGTATTAGAGCCCGGGAGTTGAGCTTCCTGGGTCAGATGCTGCTGCCTCCTCCAGACTGAGCAGTTGCTGCTCCCCCAGCAGGATCTGTGCTGGGGAGAGACCTGCATTAACCCCCCTCTGTGCCCAGCCCAGGTGGGGACTTTCTCTGGTGGCTGGAACCAGCCCTGGGGGGAGTCCTGAGCTCTGCCTTCATCAAATCCTGAGCCGGACCTGCAGGACCAGTCTGCAGGGAGAGAGCCTGGGGGGAATCGAGGTGTGAAATGGACTCAAGGCCCTTCTGAAATCTCCCCCATCACCCCTCTCGCCCTCACAGGCTGAGGTGTCTACATTTCGCTCCAGATCCTCCTGTCTTCCAGGGGACAGGGAAGGAAAATGGCTGTGATGGAGCCAGCTCAGGTAGGGGATTTTCAGGGAGCTGCAGGGGCAGTTGCTGTAGAGGGGGAGGGGCAGGAAACACACACGTGAGGCAGGGAGGGGCCAGCATGTGACAAACCAGCTGGGATACGTTCAACCTGAGTCTGATTTTCTGAACAGGCCCATTGTCAGGGGGGAACATTCCCCCATTTCTGAAACAGGAAACAGTCTCCTGGGCAGGGCTGGGAAAACTGACCAGACTCCCAGTGCTGGAGCCTGACCCCACTAGCCGGAGGCTGCTGTGAAATACGAAGGGAAGCTGTTGGGATTCCTGTCCCCGCAGAGCTCTGCTTCCTGTATCAGCCTGTGGCTGGCAGGTGTGTGTGGAAATGACCCTGCTCTGCTGGGGGAACAAGGAGCTCTCACCTTCTCCCCACCCCCGGAAGCCTCCTGGCTGTTCTGAGCAGGGTGGGGGTGGGATTCTGCTACACTGGTCTTCCCAGAGCTTCAATTTCTTTATCCTTCCTCCAGCGTGACTACTGGGATTGTGGCTGGGGCAGCAGGTGCTAAGCGGGGGACTCTTGTTGTTTCAGATGCCGGTGACCTTCGAGGAGGTGGCTGTGTATTTCACCGAGGGGCAGGGGCCTCTGCTGGACCCCTCTCAGAGAGCCCTCTACAGGGACGTCATGCAGGAGAACTACAAGATGGTGACCTCACTGGGTAAGGGATTCCTGTGCTCTTAATTATTACAAGCTGGGCTGTCTGCGTGATCTGGTTAGTTCTTCCCTGCTCAGTTAGATCAGAGTGAAATGGATCCCAGAGTCCATAGAGCTAGTGTGAGAGAGACTTTCATCTCTCCATGCCCTCTCCAATGGGATCGGGGAGTCATAAACCTAATGGGCACGCTAATTCATCCCCAGCCATCCAGCTTTCAAAGGGGCAGAAGCAGGGTATGATCCTGTCTGTACTGTTGGTGTGGCCCCATTCAACCCAGGATAGACGGACACAAAGTGGGGAAGGCAGTACCTTTGATTGGACCAAATTTGGTTGGTGAAAGAGAGAAGCTTTTGAAGCTTGTTATTTTGTTTTGGATCACTTGATGTTCACCTGTTCTGTTAATTCCCTCTGAAGCAGTTGGCATTGGCTGCTGTCGGAAGACAGGACACTGAGCTAGATGGACCTTTGGTCTGAACCAGTGTGGTTGTTCTTATGTTCACCCACAGGAGTTGGCCCAAGAAAAGCTATTACGTCACCCACCTTGTGTCTCACCATCCACTATGATCCTCCCTTGTTGGGACTGGCTCCAGCCAGAGGGCTCTGGAGGTTTAGAACTAGGCAGGGGTTTGACACCAGAGCTGTGTCTGCATCAGCAAGTCCCCCAGAATGCACAGATCCTGGAAGCCCCCATTGAGGCTGTGACAGCTCTTCCCCCCCACAGACATCTGCCTCTCCCTGGGGACTTAGTGGCCATGTTCCCATCTGTTCAGATTCTACATCTGCATAATTACAGTGACCATGTTCCCACCCTTTGCGATTCCACAATCCCCCAGCTCAGCATGGGGCAGGTTAAACTCAGGGAATGTTCTCTGTGACAAATACATTGTCAATACTCGAAATACACCCTCATCTTCCTGATTTCCCTCTCTGAGCAGGATTTCCCATTCCCAAACCTGACTTGATCGCCCGGCTGGAACGAGGGGAAGAGCCGTGGGTCCCAGATATTCAGACCTCTGAGGAATCGGAGATCCCAAGAGGCAGCCACACAGGTGGGGAATCGGTTAAACTGACACATAAACCAGATGGCAAGTGAATGAAAAAGCTGAGACTCCCAAAAGTGGGCTGTTAGCGAGCTCCCCGGGGTGTGTTTCACCCCACCCAGTCAGGCTGTAGCCAGCCGGTATGGTATCATCATGGCAGATATCACCTATGGCTTCCCACCCATCCTTTAGCTGTATGGAGTTTCCTCCCTGACTTTTCTTGCCTGGCAGTGTGTAGATGGGATGTGGAGGCAGAATCCAATTTCTCCGTCTCCGCAACAGTCACTGTGTTGTGTTTTCCCCTCTGTGCTGTTCTCGGTTTTGTCCTTTCTCCCCGACATAGGGAATGACTCCTATCTGGATTCTCTCTCTCCCCTAGCAGTTGATGAGATGATGATGAGTGAGAACAAGGAGAAGAATCCACAAGAGGAAGATCCCGAGCAAGTGGAATTGCAGGGAAACTTTTTGAGAAGAGCTGAAGGGAATTTTTCCCAATCCTTGGAACAGGGAAAAGCTTGGAGGAGTCAGCAGAGATCAGAGAGGCAGCTGGGAAACCACCCAATAAAGAAAGATGATGAATCCGTTGAATGTGGGGCAGGATGCAAGGACCCCAGGGAAACCACAGCCCTGCAGACAAATCACAAGGAAGAGAAACCCTATAAGTGTCTCAACTGTGGGAAAAGCTTCAATCGGAAATCGAACCTTATCGCTCATCAGAGAATACACACAGGAGAGAGACTTTATAAATGCCTGGACTGTGGGAAAAGCTTCAGTCAGAGCTCACACCTTATTATGCATCTGAGAGTGCACACAGGAGAGAGACCCTATAAGTGTCTCAACT